AAAGTTTGCAAAGGATTCTGGTAGCGGTAGCTTATGACGCTAGAATCAAACAGCCCTCTGGTGTGGGCGAGACGAAAATTGATTAAAACACACATTTCGCTCCAAGCAGTAGGGCTTTGGCCGAGATTTAAAAGTATCACATAAACACACGAATACTATTCRGAGCATTGAACTTGATGTTTTATTATAATACCTGGGTAGAATTTATCTTTCTTCAAAGGTCTTAGAGTACCAGCACTACCAGGAGGAATGGCTGACTCCTGTCTCACCGCATCACGTGACGATTCGATACATTTAGCAAATAGAGTAGTGAAGGATGGTAACGAGAACTGATACATCACATCGATAGAGGCTAGGTCGGTCAGCACGAAGTAGAGAATAGCTCCCCTGGAGGCGATAGGCAGGTATTTCTCTCGGTTAATTTTCATGACTTCTTCAGTTTGTTCTGATTCCACCACACGAACTTGAATAACATGCGCCATTTTGATACTTTCATCCAGGGTATTGATGAGGTCTTCATCATCTAGGATGTTCCCACGGGAAGTATGCAGTAATGATAAAGAACGATCTTCTAATTCTTCTAGTTTAAATCTGTCTTTCACTATCGATAGATAAAATTGGCATCATCAATGAAAGTCTGAAGTAGATTCCTTACTCCTCCCCAGGGGTTCGTTTCTCGTTCGTTCTCACTTTACTTTACTCACACCTACACACAAGGTCTTATTTTTGCACATAATCCACACCTTACCTTACACCACCCACCTACCTTACACCACCCACCTACCTTACACCACCCACCTACCTTACACCAACCACCTACCTATTCTCTAAAGTAACTCACCTAAGTTATGCAAGATTTCTTTTCTTTGTTCTTCCAGCTTTGGTATTTCCTGCTGCACCACGCGTGACAACAGCTGATCCTGAAGTCCTTCAAGCGTGACAGTAAAGTTGATAAGCGTGACCTTGATGCACACGTCTGGCAGGAAGTGAGGGTTGGCCAGCGGTGACGTCATGTATAACCGGAAGTTAGGGTTGTACTCGATGACAGTGTCCCCCATACAAATCACTAGATGGTTACCGCGTAATGATGTGTTTCTTGTTAGGATGGGGTTGAGGGCTGGGTCGATGTCTTCTCCTACATCCTGCATTAGTAGAGTAATAATTAGTCCAAATATCGGTCAAGAAAGTAAAGCAACAACATGTTGGTCCCAAGGAGAGGTAGAAGAACTAATGGATGAATAACGGAATTGAATAACCGATGAAATGGATGAATAAATAAAATAATGAGTAAAAGGGAGAGAACGCCATAAGAGAGTAGTCAATGGGAGGTGTCAATTACTGAGTGCAAAGCAAAGAGCTTTAGTGACTAAAACTAATTTGTACGCTAATAGACCTTTCCCGAATTCGCTTGACTGGTCACGAAACAATGGTTTGAAGTCGAGGTTGAACTTGATGAATAAAAGAATCAAGTTCAGTCTCGACTTCAAACCATTGTTTCGTGGTCAGTCAAGCGAATCGGGATAGGTCTATTACTAAGTTCCGCTAAGTTAGTTTTATTAGTTATTTATATTTTCCTTACCTCAATCAATACAGGTTCCCCTAATGGTATCGCCTCCTCCAAAGTTTTGATGAAATAAGCATCTGTTGCCTTGACGACCTTAAGTCGATTTTCCTTCTCATTCATCATGATCCATTTACTKGCTTGCTCCTGCGGGTCGATGAGGAGTGGCCATCGGTGGCAATGTTTGATAATAGCACCATTCTCAACAGAATATTTATCATGTGGGAGCCCATTATTCAACCATAGTTGGATCTCCACCGGTTCTGCAAGAAAATTGGTCAGTTCAAAGCTCTCGCTGACCGGGATGGACTTGTCATCGCAGTATATGTGCCAGCGATTCAAGAGACTTCGGCGATACGATGAAGTGAATGCGCCAAAATAYGTTATAGCAGCGGTGGATAGAAGGGTATCCCCAACTAGTCCTTTAGCGTGTTCACCCACTTGTTTGATTGCTTGGCTCCATCGATCCTACAAAAAAAACAAAAAAAAAAACAAAGGCATTTTACGACTGTGATACAACAGGTACCTCTTTTTACTCTTTTTACCTTAGCGGTAATGTTGTCCCATTTCAGAACACGTGTCATTCTCTTTAATACTATTCGTTTACTTTGAACTTAATGTTTTCACATTTCAGAACACGTGTCATT